CGACATAACATACCCCATCACAAACCGTACACCATATGAAATAGATGAGGTTATGGCTGTTGCATGTGAGAGGAGGGGGTTGGATAGTGATACTAGTGTTCGGAATTTGGATAAGCCGATCAGTGAGACGAATGTCACATATAGCACAACGGGCACTGCCACAAGGACGATTACCGAGTTGAGGATATGTGGGACGAAGCTGAGAAGAAGTTAGAAGAGATTTAAGGTTGGGGGGTTGTCTTCTAGCCAAGACAGGGGGATTTCTGAATGCTTCCACAGAGGAGAGATTATCTTGAATGATAGAAAAGTCACGTTTGATGCAGCGGGAAAGATTGTTGATTTGTGTGTTGTAGTCAAATACCATAGGGATACGTCGGGATTGTGTTTTGGGTGTGTAAAGGAGCAATTGGTCACGAGATTTGTTGGAAATCTTGTCTATGTTGCGTTTAATAACTCGGATGGGATAATTACTCTTAGTGAGTTTGTTGACGTTGTACATGCGACATACAATTATGAGTAAATACAACACATACATTTGCGGTGTTTAAAATGTAAAATGTGTTATTATCAAAACAACCTCTAAATTATTCATTCATGTAGTATGTTGTAATGCATGTTTGTAAAAATGAGTATACAAATTTAAATGGAAATTTCATACTGATTTATTACCAAATTTTTCAGAGCACGATACAACGCCTCCCGTTATTACTAACCTACCAACGGATATTGTTACAAGCACAATTCCTGGAAGAGCTACTGCATCAGTAACTTGGAATATCCCATCTGTTAGTGATAACTCGAATTCATATCAACTTATCGGTAACTATGACCCTCCTACAGAGTTTGAAGTTGGAACAACTCAAGTTACCTACACAGCAACAGATGATGCGGGTAATAGAGCCACCGCTAGTTTCTTGGTAACTGTGCAAGGTATTGACGATGCATTTCTTCAGTATAATACATGATGTATACATTTACAGAATTTCATGGACATATTTGTAAATTAATAGGTTATTAAATTAGCGTCGTGTTTTTTTCACTTGGAAAACATTTGAATGACGAATTGAATTTGAACTATAACGCTATTAAAATACATTGTATTTATGGAATATATCTTTATTCATTTTGATGTGGAGGTGACTAAACCTGCATGGCGTTTATAGTTTCTGCTCTCATAATAGGCCTAACAAACATTGTTATATAGGTCTATATGATAGAGATGCATATACTAAACTTAATACGTAGGATTTTTTTTATAGATACTGAGCGACCTGCTATCAGTAATTGTCCTTCAAGCAAGATTTCATATGTTCTTGATTCTTCGTCAACGGCACTTCTCCACTGGGATGAACCAACGGCAACTGACAATGTCGGGAATGTTACAATGGTTTCAAACATCAGTCCCGGTGACCGGCTGTCTCCAGGCCAATACATAGTTACGTACACAGCAACTGACCAATCCGGTAATACCGCTACGTGTTCGTTCACACTGACGATCTCTCTAGCAACATGTAAGTACAAACATAGAGACGCAATAATTTAAACGTCTATTTCTATCTATACCAATAGTTACAATTTCTACATTTTGCTAAATTTTTATTTCTGCAAATCAACTTTCATTATCAATTGTCGAATAGTACGGTATGCATACATTAACAAAAAGCAATGTTCCTTTTGTTTAAAAGAGAGTACACCAACTTAACATCAAGCCAACTCAGTTGGTAAAAATACACAACATCTCATTTTTACACAGATACTGATGAGATATTAGCTAGCACTACATTTGACATCATCCGTGGAGAGAATGGAAACTTTTCTGAAGCACAAGCTGCAACGCTCATGTCGCTATTAGAAGATGATGTAAGTAAAATCCAGAAGTTTACATTTATCTTCCTTATTTTTGACGAAATTTCATAATTATTTTATTATATAACTTTAAATAATAGTTTTGCATTTGTGAGCCTTGGCTAAAGTAACTCATCATCAGCTTGCTTCTGAATAAAGTATAATTTTCAGAAGTTTCCTACTGTATATCAAGGACACTATGTATTATATGCACGAACTCAATCTTGTCTTCCTTTCCCAATACCTTAAATGCTCGAATAAGCTTCGCTCTCAAATAAGCGCCGCACCAAGCCTGATTTTTTTAGCAAAGGGCCGCTCTCAAATAAGCGCCACAGCGCTTAATCGAGAGTTTATATTACCCTGTGTGTAATGAAACACTTTAAGAAACATGGTTTTAAATACAATGTATACATTTTTAAAATTAATAAATACACAACGAAGACACAAGCATTTCCCTATAAATGTTTATTTACGATGAACTACGGGAATATGTGAGCTATGTTATGTGAATAGGCATTTTTTATAAGCACTGCTCTAGAATAAGCGCCGCACCGAAGCCTACAAAGATTTTATAAGCGCCGCGGCGCTTATTCGAGAATTTTCGTATATATGAGACTAACAATTACAATAAGCTTTTACCACTGCAAAATTGGTTTGTTTGTTAGACTGGAAATGCATTTCTGGTGTAATTGTATAACTAATACGACTGTCATCTTTTCCTAGATTGAAGATGTGATACGCCAAAGTGAATTTTCATCAAGTGTTGTCGGTGTAACTGTTAATGGTTATTCCTTTGACAACGTAAATAATCCTGTAGTTAACTATACAATATATTTTGATGACGGCTCTACTGTAACAGAACCTGGCGTAGAAGCACTTTTAAATGCAGCGCTTCTGAATGGCGTTCTCCCTACTGGTAATACAGTTCAGGATGGCGCTTTTTATATTGGTAAGCAACTGGTGTGAAATGTATTAATCCAGTATATTCTAATTTTTGAAAGCCAGTTAAATAAAGAAAAAATGCAAGTATATTTTCATTGACAAATAGGACCAAATCGAAATTTTACTTATAGCCACTAACTATAAGAAATAACATGATAGGAAAATACAGATAATATTGCTAGTAAGTGTATACAGTAAATTAACTGTGTAATATGTTCCTGCCTTCTTTTATACATAAATTTAAAACTCCTATCATATAGGTTTTAAAATTGTATGTCATTTTCTTTGAGCGAAAATAACTCTTGAAAACTAGAGCGATTTAACGCTGTTGCATCAATAAAAAAATAGTAACACCAACAAAACACTAATAACAATAATGGTAATGAGGTGTAGAGGCTAAATAAAGAAACTAACTAGTTACATGTTATTTTCAATGTTCAATAGGAATCGGAGAATGTGCAGACGTCACCTGTGAGAATGGAGGTAAATGTAATAGGGTCACAGATGGATATGAATGCCAATGTACATCCGGTTGGACAGGAAATTTGTGCCAGACAGGTAGGTCACAATAGTTTACTTGTTGTGTTACTAACATAATACATTTTGTCATGGACACAATTTCTTTTTTCAGTCTTACATTATTAACTTTACATTGTTTGTCTACAAACACGAATGTGACCTAATAAAACAGACAGCAGTATTAATTTTAGGTAAAGGTAAAGGTAGGAGAACAACCCATAACTTACAGCGTCGTTGTGATGGCCCCCACTTTTGTAACTGTTCTCAGCACCAGTGACAAACATTATTATTTGCGCCTTATAAATCGACCTATTATTACTGTACAATGTAGATTTTCTTTTTTCATTTTCCCTTTTTGAGTTGAGCAAACGTACGTCTGTAAAGTTTTCTTGAAACTTACCCTCGAGCACGAAGAAAAAAGAATGGAATCGCCCGCCTTGCACGAATTCTGAATTTATGGATAGGGTGGAGGTAGTCACTCATTATGAAGCGACGCTCTAGTTCTCTTTATGTTCACCATGAAGATGTCAGTGTAACTAATTGGCTTACGTAATAGAGCCACATTTAAATTCCCTCTAATTTAACGAAAACAATAAGATACTTAATTAGGCCATTTATTAAAATAGAGTTCTCTAAAGGTTAACTACATAATTTATAGTATACTGTAGTTAATGTGTTATAGCTTGTAAAAACTGTATTAAATAAAAAACATCTTTCGAATAAAAACATCTTTCACTTGACAATATGAATTAGTATTTATGAAACAAAATGATAGGCTATAAGATTTCTCCATCTGACAAATTTAGTGTACACCCTGTCATGCCAAGTGTTATAATGAACGGTGGCGGATTCAAGGGGGAGCCCAGTAACCACGGGCCCCCAACCTTCTATTTTTGTCAAAATTTAAAAAAAAATTGAGTTCATCTTTTAATCTGAAAGTGCCATTTCTGGCCATCTAGAGGTGCAGCCACTACCGTTGTGGGGCTGCAGAGGTGGGTGGACACAACAACAGGAAATGAACCATAACATCGGGGTAACCCACTACTCTTTCTAAAGAAGCCATTATGGGTTCTTTAAAGTGCACACGAGGCAGATGTGTTCACTGAGACTATTTTAAGTCCTTACCCGAGAAGACTTGATTCTACTGTACCAACCGAACTCAGGCCAAGGAGCGGCTGAAACCAGCGCCGATGTTAAGGCTGTAGCTAGCGGCGCTCCATGCTTTCCGCTCGGCCACTCGACTCGGCCGAATATTATTATTAATATTGTTATTGTTGTTGTTATTCTTATTGTCATTATCACAGTATGTTTTCTCAATACACTTAACATAGGACAATGTATTTTCATGTATTTATAAACCAATACATAGAGTTACATTAAAACCAAACGAAAATATTGATACTTAAGATATTGTTATTACATTGTTACTATTATTATCATGATAATCAATCTATCCACCTCAGACTTGAATGAATGTACATCAAGTAGCATCTGCAGCTCGGATCTTGTATGTAAAAATACATTTGGAGGTTACTTGTGTGGATGTGAACCCGGCTTTCATCTAAAAAACTCAGTTTGTGTCTGTAGGTTTGATTTTGTATATCTATGCTTACCGTAGTACTATGCACCTACAACAAGAAAATTAAAGTTATTAAAAATTATTTAGATAATTATTACTTTGCTGATTAGAAATAAACATTGAGAAATTCAAAGGATAACTACGTATTTTTGTGGGAGACCAATTACGAAATTAGACCTTGTTTATCAATCGGTCAACGGAAGCGGTTTGGAGCGATAAACTTTTATAAACAAGCATAGACATTTTTTTTTCAAAATTAATTAACTATTCATATATATTTTAAGAAAGAACTATTGAATATATATGTTATGTTATAGTGTCAAAAGAAATCACTGGTGAATTTGCAATTGCGGAAATTGGAGATGCTACAGCAATTTTTACTGAACCATATCTAAATGCAGACTCTGATGAATATTTAGACTTGGAAGCTAAAGTTATTGAAACTGTAAGAATTTTGTTTTATATTATTGTAGTAGGGTCTGTCATTACTAGCAATTTTGTGTATTCATCTCATCATGGCCGCAGTTCGATAACACTAAAGCGGTTATTCACACGTGGTCGTTTTTAGTGGCCCAAAACAAATTAGTACCGGTACTATTTTTAACGAAGAAAGTTTTTCGTATGTAGTGAGTATAATTTTCATTCATACGGTAAGTATATACTATTTTGGACCAAAACTGCTGTCCTCATGTCTTTGGTTAGTAAAGTTATTAGTAGGCCTGCATAAAATTTAGACACAATGTAAGTTGATGGGACTGTAATTTCTCCCCATATTTATTTATAGAAAAGAATCAGGATATACAATTTAGACACTATTAATAATACCTTTTGACATATCCCTGATTTTCTGTCTTTTTCTTCTAGCTAACAAAGATTTTCAAAGACTTACCAGGGTTCGTGTCAGTCTACGTCTTTCAGTTTTCAAGTGGAAGTATTAAAGTTCAGTATGTTGTGCAATTTGATTATGAATCAAATACAACAGCTCCAAATGTCAACGACATATTCAGTGAGAACGTTGCCAATGATGGCATGCTTTCTGATTCAATTCTCGATCTTGAACCAGAATCCTACCAAGTTATTGAAGGTAAGTTAGTTAATAAAGGGTGTCATTGTAATCAGTATTATTACTAGTATGCATCGTTTTAACATTGCCACCAACATCGCCACCATATAGTCGTCATTATTTTTATTATGTTGATGCTTCTTCTGGGGTTGAATCATCGATATTGACAATTGTTTTCAAATGGTATAGAAATATGTGTGCCCGGTTACTGTTCAAATGGGGGCGAGTGCTCGATAAACACGGACACCTACGTCAGCATGTGTATGTAAGTAGCTCAACATTTTAATATCCTAACTTTCAGATGTACGTAAAATACATATTCCTTCATGTTAGATACTTCATTAATTACTAATTAGACAAAACGAAATTCCAGTAGTAGCAGTAGCAGTATGTTTATCTCTTGATGGTTTAATTAAGATAATGATATCTTCTGATTATACAGATGCCCCGATATATATACTGGAGATAGGTGCGATGAAATTGTCAAGGTCGTGGCAGGTGAAGTTTTTTTTTTATATAACTACATTTTTTCTAAGGAGCTAAATACATTTGCCTTTGTCGTTCATATCTTGTTATTAATAAATACCGTACATAATTTGAATATTAATATACCGTTTTAAACATACAAATATTGACGGGTAAAAGCAAAATCAATAGATTCTTGTTTATGTAGTAAACTTTTATAATTTGCATTATAAATGCTGTCGTAGCCATATACTATATATATATATATATATAAATATATATATATATGTTTATATATATATATGTATATGTTTATATACATATATATATATATATATACATATATAAATATCAAAAAAGTGCCTAATATTCAATATATTGATATTTATCTCTGTGCACAGGCAATACATTCCAAATTATCGGCATCGTTCTTGGGTCTCTTGCTGCAGTCATATTTGTATTCCTGATAGTGGCTGGTTTCTGTTGTTGGTTACTTGGTGCCAGACGACGTCGACGAAAAGGTGCCCTATACGACGATGATGATCACAGGATCATTCGTACGCTGACAACACCAATTGATTCGCCAGCTTTGAAGCCTGTGTTTTATCCACCACCCATTGCGGATAAAACCTACGACCTTCGTGAGGAATCAAATCTTGGAGGAGTAAGGCATTTCATTCGCAGACTTTCAAATAATCAGCGCTGTAATGTAATAGTATGCCTTTTAGGCCTAACATATTTTTGAAGCCAGTATAAAAGAATATATTGTATAATAAAAATAGCAATAATCATTCATAGATATGAACTAAACGAGATAGTCTAGTGTTTATTGTATTCAGTTTAAATTGTGAATCATCTTGATTTTCAATGTGGATTCAAACTGCCTACTTTTTGATGTGTAGCTTGTTTCCATTAATCAGTTTTCGTGTTTTCTTACATTGCTTATTATGCAATTGTTTGAATTTTTTTGTTATTTTTGTAAGTGTTTTAATATTAGTCTTGTAATTTCTCATTAGAAGATTTTATAGTTGAAATTGTAGTACTTGCTATTCAATAATTTGTATAAATAAATACCAGTTGACATATTTTTTTTGTAATGTATCTAATAGAACCTTGACGATGTTCGTACTAGAAGTTTACGTGATGACAGTGGATTTTTGAACCCCTACGTTGCTACTGGATATATCAATAAGGCACACTCATTTATGGTAATGCAATTACAACTTTATTAGCCTGGTTCTCACGAGAGCCCTAGTATCCGGATCGGGAGCTAACCGTTAGCGCTAACCGTTAGCAGTATCCAGATACCGCTAACGGTTAACAAGCGCTATCGGTTAGCAAGTTGAGCGCGTTTTTATCATCAACCCATCACACGTACGTGTTTACAATTTCCAGTTCCTTATTGGCCAGTGATTCGATCATCATATTTTTGGTATCCGGATCGTGATTTTCTCATATGGACGCACGGCAGCTAACGGTTAGCAGGATCCGGATCCTGCTAACCGTTAGCAGCCGTGTGAGAACATAGACACTACCAATATTTTAAAGGTCAATAATTCACTTTAAAACTCTTTGTTTCGGATTATTTATAACTACTTTAATAATCATTTATAGCATTACATGCAACAATCAACTAATTAATGTATTAATGCAATAATGATTATTAATTGTAAAACACAAATGAGTCTTGACGAACGGTTTAACGGGGTTTTTAACTGAGTAAATAAAGTAAAATGAAAAGTAAAGAAAATGACAAGAAAGGAAAGAAAAGAAAAAGTAGGAAAATGAAAAGAAGGAAAAAATTTAAAAAATGAAAAGAAAAGGAAAATGAAAAGAACAGAAAATGAAGGAAATAAAAGAAATGAAAGAAGAAAGAAATCCTCTTTAGAATAAGTAAATTATAAATAGGTTGCTTGTGGTCGAAAATAAAGTGGAAATAGAAAGCAAGGAACAACAGAAACCAATGTAAAAAAAATAAGAACTGCTAATTATATTCACCATAATCCAAATTATTAATAATAATCCTAATATAAATCAGGTAAAAATGCGTTATTTAGTTGAATATTTTATAATAGCCAGATGTTTATAAAACGAAAAGAAACAAAAATATATTAGTTGGTGATGATTTGGATTAGACCTTCAATCTAACATTACTTTACGTTCACAAATCCATTAATGTCATTTACTTTTTCACCATCGCTTGTGAACATTCCCAGCAGGGAATATTTGGCCTTTACTCATTAATAAGTAGTGTATAATCTCAATTATAAAAAATTGCATTATAAAAGCGTTGTCTGATAATGACAGGTACGTACAGAGCAGCTGAAAACCTTAGAATAACCTATGTGTACGGAATAATATAACTTTTTTCAGGCGCCGTATAGTTGGCTGAATCCAGCCGTTACGGAGATCGCTTGGCACCACAAATTACTTTTTCTCTTTGATTTCGCAAATGGTTGTTTTATGACTAATAATAATAATCAATACTGGAATCCTAAATTGTCTGCGATTTGGTGTAGGCTGTACGCATTGTTTCTTACACGACACGTCCTCGTTCTCGGCCTATAAAATTCACTTTTTTCCTATTCTTGCTTTGATAGATTTTTTAAGTCACCCTAAGTACATTTTATTACATATATTATGCGTCCTTTCCACCTGTACTAATAATTCAAATTCAAATTCAATCTGTATTGCAATTTGTAAACAAATTGAAGTTTAACAATCAAAATGGGAAAGAAGACAAACAGGAAAAATACCAGATAACAATTATTTTTAAAAATTAATATATCTCAATAATTTATAAAAGCAAAGTAGGTAACATTTAGAAAATAGACAATGGCGTAACGATGCGCTCTCATGCAACGGCCCACAGGGCTCCCGACCACATGGTCTTCGATCTAGCACCCTGACCCAAAGGACTTTGTTGATACATAACAGTGTCTCTGACATCGACTGTATGTTATATTGTCCAGTGGCGAATTTAAGGGCCCCTAAATTTATAAATTTTGCGATTGTGAGTGCCATTTCCGGCCATATGTTGTAATCATAAATTTTCTTACCTCAGTCCCAAACCCCAACTATGGTGGGACTGAGGTGGTATTGACCATTTATCTGTGAAAGTCTCTCTCTGGGCCCTATTAAACATTCCTGGATTCGCCACTCATATCATATCATATCATTTATTTTGTCATTAAAAAACATTTAGAATGCAATGACAAACATAAAATAAAACGAGCACATCTAAAATCCCACAATGGAATTGGCAACTGGGATCCACTAGGCCCCCACTCTCAGAAAGCCACATCCGCCCCCCCCCCCACCTCCCCCCGCCCCCTCCCTATAAGAGACAGCTGAATAGAAGAGTAGAAAATGTGTATATACAGTTAGGTAATTATAAAGAAATATGAATTAACTTTTATGACTAATAATCAAGACTGGAATCCTAAATTGTTATCTGCCCTACAATACAATATTAATTTGTTATCTGCCCTGCAATACAATATTAATTTGTCATTTTGACTCTCCAACCTGTCCGCTCCATTATTTAATTCCACTTTCAAAAAACACTATGTGTATTTCATTATTCAACATTGCCAGCACATAATTATAACGCTACACTCTTATACAAATTAATGCTTTACTAGGCTAAATAATTTTCTTCTTGAAATACTTGTCATTTTTTTACTCTGTTTTATTGCTATCAATATATCTTACCCCAATCCTACTTTAGTTTTCATTTGTACATCTTATTATATTTCCACAACCTTGTAACACATGTCAGCAAACTATTTATGTGTTCTATTGTGCTACTTCACTTTTCATACATTTTTTTTCCCTTATAGAATAATTTTGACGACGATCGTTCCAGTAATGACGATTCTGACATACAGAATAATCACCACATGTACTAGCTATGCAGTCTTTAAGATATTACTATCATTAGCACTTTAACAGAGAGCAGTCATACATTAACGCATCGCAGCTATTATCGTATGAAAAAATATGTTATATCAAAATAATGTAATTGCAGCTATATTTTTAGACAAATTCTTTATATATTAATTAAGGGAAAGGATTGTTTTTAATGTTTTACATAGTAGGCCTACAGACGTTCCTGGATATATATTTTAACATTGACATACTATATTTTTATAAATATTGTTTTTTTTTTAATTTGTTATAATTTGTAGCGTGTATAGAGTTATGATATCAGGGCAGTAACATATAAGGAGCGAGTGGCGCAGCGTGTAGGTTGTTGGATTTCTAGTCGTGAGATCGGGAGTTCAAGACCGACGCTCGCCGCACTGCTTGTGTCCTTGGGCAAGACACTTTACTTACGTTTGCCTCTCCTCACCCAGGAGTATAAATGGGAGGGTCATTCTGTTAATCTGCTCGTTAGTGACCCTGCTACGACTGTTCCAGTCAAATTAATAACAGCAACTAGATATCAATTGATATCATAAAACCTTAATTATCGTAAATCCAATAATGTCCTTTTGCAAAGGAAATAGTTTAAGAGGCGTGTAAATTTTGATTATTATATGTTTTATTAGTGATATCTTAAAAAAATTCTACGCATTGGTTTTTTTTTGGTTTTTTTGGGGGTTTTTTTTCATTTTTTCATTTACATTATGGTGAAAAGGGATCTCCGTTCATCTGCATGGTATAATAAATACTCCGATGTCTCTAACTTATAAATAAAGATTATGATTCATTTTCACAGTTGATATACACGTGGACCATATCATAGCCCAGCAAAAACAAAACGTTGTAATAAACATATTATAACATCTACGAATGTTGTGAACGCGTTGGATAATATGTTATGTCAGAAAATAACACATCGTTGCAGCAACGTTTAAGATGGAAATTTCGTTGTTAGTAGGTATTTGTTCTACAAAAACGTATTTACAAACGTAATTACGCTGTACACTAGTATACTGTAAAAAGATAAATACGTATTTACAACGTAATTTGCAAATGCGTATTTATGGTTCTACAAAATAAAACCATAAAACTTGTTAATAATATCGAATTGTTAGCTGAGAAGTGATCCAGCTGGTTTAGTGACTAGTATAATAAATGTGGTAAGTAGATGCCACGTGAAACGTATTTAAAGCTTGCTGCATTTGTGGTTAAATGTTATTGTTTTTATTAAACAATAACGAAGCTAAAATATGTATTTCTGTGGATCCAGGCATTTGGTCACATCATCCTTATCATACACGATATTGAGATAAACTATAAGCCGATAATGCTAAAACATTATAATTATATTATCACGGTTCATTGATGATACATCACCTAAACTATGCAATGGTTATCTTTATGCATTTTGAGTATTTTAAATAAAAATATTTTTCTTCAAAATTTATCTTTTTAAATTAGATTTCTAATGATTTTGTGCTTTATGAGAATCACGTAACATACCTATCAACATGATTGTCATAAATCAAAACTCATAAATCTAGAATGTTCGCTTCCTTAATTGCTCAACAACATGCTCACACGTTGTTGTTCAAATATTTTCTTGAACCGTGCATATATTCTCAGATCAGCTTTTATTGCGTGAGTTACCGAATCGTCTTGTTTTAACTTAGCAATCAAATTGCTAAAACTCAAGCTATCATCTATTGCATTCTCATTATGTTGAATCAATAAATGGGAATGTTTTCCCACATTCTGTGATGAGATTCCAGCGCATGATTGATTCAAAGGAATTCCGAAAACGGTTTCAATCATATTTTGACTTAGATCGTAATACTCAGTAATCCCAACAACTGCAAACCAGTTTTCCAGGTTTTCGAGACAATATGTGATAAGCGTTTCTTTTTGTTGTTCGGTTATCATGTATGAAAGTATAACTTTCTGACGAAACCAACTCGGCTGGCTAATGTAAAATTCGTGTTTGAAACCTGCTGGATAGTAATACTCGTGGAATTTATTGCAAAATTTAGGATGGAATATAAGCTGCTGGAAGAAATAATTCCCTAGATGAATTGCCCACTCGTTTATTGATGCTTTCCATGGGGACAAAGCTCTGCAGAGAGGGTTGGTTCGCTTACGTCGACAATATAAATAACTTGACACAATACGCTCATAAGGATCCCTCATCATGGTAACATATGCACAAGGTTTTGCCAAATCCTCACAAACACCAAAGGCCGTGTCGCCTATTAAAATATCATATTCACCGAGATGTTTAAGATGAACTCTTGTGCACCCTGTAAGTTCAGGACCAATATTCCTACCTACTGCAGATGCAGCCTTGCGAAGACAGAGCTTAGATGTTGATGAAGCAGATCTTGGGGAATACAAATATGCCAACGTTGTTTGCTGATACTTCGCACGCTCGACATCATCAAATGTCTTCGTAAAATAGTTTGGAAGATACCTTTCCAAACGCATCCATGGCAGTCGCTTATTCAATAATAATTCAAGTGAAACAGGCGTTCTAAGCATATTGTTTCTTTGTCCGTTTATAATATTACCTGTTTCATCATGTGCTTTGAGGAGATGACTGTTTTCCACTGTTTTTATCTTCTCAAATCTAAATAATAAAAGAAATTAATCATTTTTCTCCGAACACCAATGTAGTGTAGTCTTACACGTCATGTAAAGGACTAATCGTTACATTTTCTTATACAGTGTGAAATTGGAGTATAAATAGCATAAAATATGGATATTATATATTGACAAGAGAGGAAGCAATCTTTCTGAGCTATTAGGCATAAAACTCATAATGCGCGCTGGCGAAAATCACAGAGAGAGCGCGCGATGATTGCACCTTTTAAAAGGGCATCGTTGTGAAAATGTCAACTCAAATCCAATTGATATTTTTATAAGACAAAAAAATATATATATAATTATATATACGCACCTGATGTTTTGTGACGACAGTACACTATCTTTCTCTTTTGCGTGTGGGAATATAATTGGGAGGGCTGGTATTGCAAAATTACTATCAATATTTAATACTTCTTCCCCAAAAGAGAACAGTAACCTAAGTAAACACCATATAATCATCACCCCTAAAAAGCCAACGGTAATTATCCGAACTCTCATGATCATCATCCGGCTTCGCCCAAACCTGCATGTAGTATGCTGAAGTATAAACCACAATACATAATTGCATGCCATATGGCGAATGGTATCAACAAGTCGTAATATTTGTTGCAACAATGAAAATTATTATCATATAAAGTGAATCAACATAATTCTCATCGTCGTCATCTGCTTTACCTTTATACGTTTCAGCATTTTGGTATATTGCCGAGGGGCGCTAATGTTTTAAGCATGTCGTTATGCATAATAAACACTACACATCAGCTGGATCAAGTAGGCTATAATACTTGCCTGCATTTTTGTGAACTATAATATTAATGTCACATGGCTAAAATTTAAAATAATTTTAAAAAGCCTCGCAATTTAATTATATTTAACTTTTATTAGAATTGAATCCTCTTGTACCACCTAAATTTAAATTTCATCTCAATAAACCATTTTGAGCTAGCAACAAACTTTCTTTTGCTTTATTTCTACATACGCTACATAACGAGTAGGACTACTAGTAAATACAATAAAGTAATTTCATTAGCGTCCTCAATGGGTGGTTGGCATTTTTCGATGGTATTGATCGCCATCTTGTCGTAAAATACTTCATATGCTGTGCGCACTAAAGCTTGCAGCAAATCGGTAATATTTTAACGTTGTCTTTTTGTGATTTATTTATTATGAAAAAACTTTCGAGCATCTTATTTTCTAGCATCCTGTTCTTCTGTCGAGCATCGTTCCACCAGTAGGCCTACTTAATTATATGTAGCCTTATAATTGAATATACGTGACCTCCATTTTCCAGGGTCCTTGAGGTGGGAGGACTATTAGGATGAAATTATAAAAAAAACTCATTTGGCGTTAGTCTTGTCTCAAATTTGAGAGGCCGGTGTTTGAGCACTTATCGCATACGGCTCATTTTTATGCAAGTCAATTTTCAAACGGTATCTGCAATCTGAAATATTAGCATCGAATTGAATAGGTTTATCATGAGCAATAAAGCTAATTCCACAACGACAGATACAATTATATTTGCATGGTACTGTATTAGATTATCGGTTTCTGGAATAGGCCTACATTTTATATGTATGTAGCATGAATTGTATCATAAAAAGAAAAAATTTATGTTTACAATTTGTGCCTATGAGAGTAGGCCTATGTACGCCTACTAAAGAAATATAATAATATTAAAATAATAATAATAATATAAATCAAGTTACATAAATTTAGAATTCTATTCCGTAACATACACGAGGTATGGCTATTGATTGCATTCACTTGTTAACTTTCGGGATACGAGGAATACTTGTGTTCAATGCCCTACGTTGCCTTCAGGGGTAAAAGCCTATTTTATAATTATAAACGTACATTATGGAAATTAATAGCCAAAAGCAGAATGTTCGTAAAATGTATTACTAGCAGTCGGATTCTATGTTAAATAAAATTTAACCAGGGAACAGTGGAATTAACTGTTCCCTGATTTAACTCACTATGTGCTTCATCAGTAATTTATGTCAGCTTCATTATGTTATCATATATGTAGGCAGGTGTACGGTAAGAATGGCCCCGGAAAAAATGGCCCCGGAAAAAGTGGCCCCGGAAAAAATGGCCCTGGAAAAAATGGCCCCGGTAAAGATGGCCCCATATGACAGGTAGGTAAAAATGGCCCCAATAATCAAATTCTGAATTAAAACTGATTTTCTTGAGTCATTATATGCATTTTTTATCTTAACTAATTTAGTTTTTAAAAGGAATCTCCCAAATAATCAAATTTTGTATTAAAACTGATTTTCTTGTGTCAATATATGCATTTTTTTTATCTTAAATAATTTAGTTTTTAAAAGGAATCAAACAAATTGCCAGTTACATTTTACTTTTTGCAAGAATTAATATTCATTGATAAAATATTCAAAGATAAATAAAAAGCCATGAATTACAC